TTCTCCAATACTCTCCGGAATCTCCTCTAGTTTAGGCAATTCAAACAGTATTAAATTCTCAAGCATCGGAAAATTATCACTACCAGCTGCTAATTCCCACCTTTCCAGATCTCTGCACGTATATAGACGTAGATATTTTAATTTGTGAAATACAACATCTTCATCTACTTTCCAATCTGTTCCATCGAATGCAGCATGCCCATAGAGCTTCTCAAGATTGGGTAAATTAGCCAGCAAATTCACAACTTCCCATGGAATACAAGTATTTGATAAATTCAACTCCTTAAGATTAGGAAGAGAAATGTCTTCAGAGATAATCATCGGATCAATGTTTTGTATGTGTAGTGTCTCCAGATCCTGTAAAATACTGAGAGAATCAAGAATAACAGCCCAATCAGAATGCTCAGATATATCTAAAATCTTTAGCTTTTTTAGATTGGGAGTTCTTCTTATGATTTCCTCAACAAAAGGAGAGTTATAGGGATAAAGTGTTTGCAAGTTATTCAGAAGGCACAAAGGTTGTTCTGCTTCAACAGGATTTGATATATATAGTGGAAATTGAATATCCACATGTCTTATCTCTGACATACTCCAGATATCTACTGGCTGCTTCAACGTTGTTGGTCTGGAGAAATATCTTTGAAGAATTATGGTCTGTAGATTTCTCAATTTGGCTAGTGAAAGACCTTCCTCAATTCTTGCAGCAACATATCTCAAATGTACAAGCTCAGGTATTACACTAGAGAAATCGTACAGGACTGGTAACACGTCCAACACCTTAATCAACTTGAACTCTGAAATAATGGAACACATCTCTTTTGGAAAAGCTACACCCATTGAAATAAAGGTACGGACAATACCACTGCTATGTCGCGGAAAATAATCATACTTCTCTTCATAATTTGACAGAAGGATAACTCGACATTGACCATCTATGGCTTTGAGAACTTTCCCATTCATGACATGCACAACATTTTCAGTATGAGTTTCACTTAGGCATAGTTGGCGAAGAAGATCATGAATTTTGCAACTTCTCATCATTCCATGAACCCATTGTTTATCAGCCAAAATTAGACTTCTATCAATTAACTCTTGTAGATACTCCTCTGCCACCACTTCTAATCTTTTATTGCTTCTTGCCTTTACGAATTGCTCTGAAATCCATAACCTAATCAACTTGGAAACATCAATCTCCATATCTTCAGGAAAACCTCCAACATAGAGAAAACAAGCCCTCAAATACTGGGGCAAATAATTGTAGCTCAGAGACAGAATTGATTGGCACCGTTCGGACACCGTACCAAAGAATGAGTTCAGATTTTCCTCAACCTTCTTCCAATTATCATGTGTAGGGTCCATTTTTCCAAGAAGTCCAGCAACGACAACCACCGAGAGAGGTAATCCTTGACATTGTTGTACAATATGCTTCCCTATTTTTACAAGTAAAGGAGGACACGAATCTTTTTTGAATAATTTTTCGGTGAATAGATTCCAACTATCATTTTGACTTAGAAAAGACTTATTATGAGGCGGAAAATCAGGGCAGTTGACATAATCAGCAACATACTTAAGCCGAGTGGTTAATAGAATTCGGCTTCTATTGTCATCATTTGGAAATGTTCTTTGCATTTGGTCCCAAGCCTTTGTACTCCAAATATCATCTATGACAATTAGAAATTTCCTACCCTTAAGACCTCTATACACAATCTCCATTAGTTCATCATCGCTTGTTTCTTTCTTGCTTCCAGTAATTGAAGAGACAAGTTCAAGAAGCATTTGTCTCTCATTGTATTCTTGAGAGATAGTGACCCATGCTTGTTTATCAAATCGAGAACGAATGTATGAATCATCATAAACTTTTCTGGCAAGAGTTGTCTTACCTATACCGCCCATACCAAAAATTGGTATGACAGTTAACTCGTCTGTTTGGGTAGTAACGCGATCAAGTATGATGTTGAAGTCATCCTCCATCCCAACAATAGTATTTTCCTCGATTGTACTTTTTTCTAGTGAGGAGGAAATTCTTGCTAATTCTGCAGATTTGCTTCCATGGTTGTTAAACTCGATCAACATCACCTCTTTGTTGAGAAAATAAACTTGTTGTTCCACTTTCAACAATTCTTCATAAAAGGATGTACATGCCTTTTGCCGCTTGTCCTCGTGATCTGCTACAATGATGCTTCTTAGACTTGAATCAATTCTATCTTCTGCTTTGTAAACTACATTTCTGATCCTCTTTTCTATAACCTTGAAATTGAAAATCGATAAATTAATTATTATTAAAAAGAATATATATAACATCAGTAAGCTAGATTTAATGAATTACATATATACCTTAAGAGTTTCAATATCCTTTGTGGTAGTATCATCAAGGAAATCTTGCAGAGCAGAGAGATTTTGATAGAGAGATTCAACATGTTGTTGTGTAGAACTTGGACAAACCAAAGAGTGATTAGGCTTTAGGAGTTGTTCCAATGTATACATAAGTGAAGAAATAGCAGCATAAGCCATTTCTCTTGCAGGGCAGAAAGAGTCAATAGAGAGGATAACAATTATTGCAATTTGCAGATTTAATGTCTCTGCTTTGTTATTATTAGGCTAAGAGGTTTTGTCCAAATGATTATATTTTTTTCCAAATGTGGGACACCATTTGTTTATAATTGTGAAACAAGGACTAAACTTTTGTCATTATCTTTAATTAAACAATTGATGGGTTTGTTGACAAATGATGACACAATGGCTTAATCAGCCTAAGAAGGATTATTCATCTGTTTTGTCTTCTTTGACAACTGCAATTAATTAATCGAGATCCATTTAAGCTAATCAAGACACAAGCAGAAATTATCAAGAAACAAAGAGATACCTTTGCAAATGTTTTGAAGCTGTTTTTCAAATTATTATTCAAAATAAACAAAGGCCAACGCTCTCGTATTCCTTCTTTTATTGGTAATTTCTTTTCATACTCCCTCACGTCCACATTAAGCGAATTGTTCGTTAACGGACAATAAATATATGTTAATCAATAATAAATATGTGTACCTTTTTTTCATCTATATCAATAGTTGACTCTCCACAAACGGTATTAAAAAGCCTACAACTTTGATTTTGAATTCAATTTTTAAAAATTATAATTTTATTTGGATTAAATATTATTGCAAACGATTGAATATATTGTTTAAAACTTGTATCTCAATGTTGAGGGCAATGCAATATGGGCTAAAAATGTCTTTACAATAGAAGGAAAACAAATCAGGTCAAATGACTCAACTACCCTCAGCAGGCAAGCAGGTATATTGACCTGCTGCTTGCTTGAGCTAAATGCACACATACAGTCTACAGAGATGTTATAAATATATAGTTGACAATAGTTTGTGGCTGTGTTATTTACATCTTGCACTATTTTAATAAATTTTACGTAATTTCTAAATTTTAATAATCAAAAGATTTCACACATGTCCAAATTTACCGTCAAAATCAAATTGTTTGACTCTTAAAATTTAAACCGTATCACATAAATTACGATATAAAAAAAAATTATCTCTCAAAATATCTACAAAGTCCAAACTGGATTAGTAAGGGAGTATTTTTATACATTATTGTCAATGTATATAATTAATTTTTTTTTAACATCATCAATACATAGATATTACATCATATTATAGTTTTCAATAATTGAGTATATTTTGGCCTGCTCAATTTATGAGATTCCTCTGCCTTAAGCTAGTAGGTCAATGCGACTTTTACTAGACGCGTTAAAAACCCTGTATATGTAGAGCCCTACATCTTCCCAAGCGAATATAATGATGATTTTATCTGCTTCACCCTTCAATCAACAGTAAAATTCATAATCAGCCTTACTAATATAGAGGAAGTTATGAATGGAAGTAGAATTGAAAGGAACATGCTAATTACTAGACGCGTTAAAGGCAGAAAACAGAAAGCAAGCACTACTCTGAATTTTTACTTGCAACCTCTCAATTCAATCAACCAACAACATACAACTGGGGTCTCGGGAGAGTAGTGTGTACGCAGACCTTTACCCCAACCTTGTGAGGTAAAGAGGTTGTTTCTGATAGACCCTCACCTCAATAAGCATTATAAAGCAGTTTGGGAAGAAGAAAACAACGGGAGTGAAAAAATCAAGATTAAATAGTAAAGAAAGCATGACAGAGTCGTTTACGACTGAAATTGGTTTTTTTTTGCTCCTCATTTCTGATATAACAAGAATACGTTGAAAATTAAACAAGGCTACTATTATAAGATAGACAAGTTAAGCATAAGGGGATCTACAAATGTTGCATTTGGAGCATAAATCTCAAAATCTTGTGCCTTAGGCTCGCCATGCATATCTGGAATTTATTTGCAGGAAGCTTGAGAGCATAATTACTATAAAAAATGATTTATTAACTAATAAGCTACTGATTAACAGATATCACTACGACAACAACTGTGTCTCTATTCCAAACAAGTTGGAGATCGACTATATGAATTCTCATTATCTATATCACTTAATATTTTCAATTTTTCACAGGTTTGTTTGGTTAATTATCTTTAGGAAACACAAGCTGAGGAAAATAACTTGTCTAAGATGAGTAGGAAAACAAGTTATACAAAACCACAATCTACAGGTGTGTTGAAAATATTTTCTAGAAAATAAATAATATGTTACTTATTTTCTTGTATTTGATATATATGCAAGTAAACAATATTTTCCTCCACGCTCTATATGCTATTCTTATTTTTTTGTGTGTGAAAATTCCGACTCTATGACGTAACTGATCGGTATGATTGCTACAACATACATGATTATAAATTTAAAAACATAGTAATAGGAGAAAGTTAAAAAGAAGAAAATAAAGCATTAAATTGGAAGTATAGCTCACAAATTGAGAAGATGTGGAAGCATATAATCATCACCAGCTTCCTTCAAGTACCCTTCTCTCTCTTCGTCTTTCATTCCTTCTACACAATTCCCAAAAATATTTCCAAAACAAATTGAGAAATACACCACAAATTAACAAAATGTATTGTTGACAAATTTATATGTATTGTTCAACAAAGTGTTGTTTAAATTTGTAATTTCAATTAAACCACACTCCAAATGATCACAAATTTAAAACAAGTGATCTGATTCAAAGATGGAATTTTAACATACCTTTGGAGTAATTTGAAGTTGAAGCTCATAATTTCCGAAGCTTTGTTGCTCTTCTTGAATTTTCTTTGCACTTGTCTCTATACCAGAGCTGCAACATTCTATTTGGATCAATTTTAGTGTCATTATATCTCCAATACTCCCGGGAATCTCCTCCAGTTGAATAAACCAATGTAGTATTAGTTGCTCAAGCATCGGAAAATTATCACTACCAGCTTCCCACTTTTGTAGATCTCTACACCTATGCAGTAATAGACGTTTTAATTTGCGAAACACAACATCTTCATTTAGTCTCCAATCTGTTCCATCGAATGCAGAATACCCTTTGAGCACCTCAAGATTGGGTAAATTAGCCAGTAAATTGATAGCTTCCCATGGTATATAAGTAAATGATAATGTCAACTCCTTGAGATTAGGAAGGAAAATATCCGCTGAGAAAATCATGATCTGGTTAACGGTTTGTTGTGCTTCTAGGTGTAATTTCTCCAGTTTCTCAAGAAGGCTGAGAGAATCAAGAATAGCAAGCCCATCAGAATGCTTAGCTTTATGTAAAATCCTTAGTTCTTTTAGATTGGGAGTTCGTTTTATGATTTCTACCGCAAAAGGAGAGAGTGAAGAGTGAGTGTTTGCAAGTTATTGAGGAACAGAGGATGTTCTGCCTCAAGAGGATTAGATATATAGAGTGGTGATCTAATATCCACATGTCTAATCTCCGTTGTTGTCCAGATATCTACCGGGCGCTTCAACTTGGTCCCTAGAAAACTTTCAAAACTTATGGTCCGTAGATTTCTCAATTTGGCTAGTGAAAAAGTTTCCCCAATTTTTGCAGCAACATATCTCAAATGTACAAGTTGAGGTATTACACAAGAGAAATCGTATTCAATTGAAAATACATCCAACACCTTAAGCAACTTCAACTGTGAAACAATGGAGAAATTCCATTTTCGAATATGTGTTCGCCTTGAAATAAAGGTGCGGGTTATACTTGTAATACCACTGCTATGCCTTGTAGGATAAAATTGCTTCTCTTGAAGATCAAATTGAACGATCAGTCGCCGTTGATCATCTATGGCTTCTAAGGAGACGGGAACATTCCCATTCATGACATGCACAACATTTTCAGTATGAGCTTCACTTAGGCATAGTTTGTCACGCCCCGAGCCTACACCCTGGGCGGGACCGGCACTCGGAGACCATTGTTGGCCCCAAGCGAACCCTTGGCCTGGCTTTCTTAACTCAGCGGAAACCTGACTCAACAGAACAACTCAATGCCATGCAAAGACATAAACAACTTGACTGCTAAAAATGAGGCCCAAAGGGGCAACTCGAGTCTCAAAATAGAATA